CCGGATCGTGAACCATGAGAACCTCATGGTGCATGAGAGCATGCTTCAAACACTTGAAAGTTGCCTCACACTCGTCGATCCATTCCCATGGCGTGTCAAGGCGAGTTAGATCAGTCAAACGGGAGGCCACAATGCTATAGTTCTTCACAAAGTTGCGATAGTAGTTGATCATCCCTAAGAAAGATTTAACCTTGGTCACATACTGAGCTCGTGGCCGGTCACGAAGGCTAGCCACCTTGGCATCTTCGGGCCTTATCCTTTCCGCTAATATCGCATGACCCAAAGACATGATTTTAATGCGATGAATTTGCATTTCTCTAAGTTAATCTTATACTTGTGTTGTCGAAGGAGTGAAAGTATGGTTTCTACATTATGGGCATGCTCCTCAACTGTTCTACTAAAGATAGTTATGCCATCGAGGTACACGACAATGAACTTATCCAAGTAGTCATGAAAAATCATATTCATGGTGTGCTGGAATGTACTCGGCGCAAAGGCCAAAGGGCACCCCCACAAACTCGTACATATCGTACCTGGTCTGGAAAGCGGTTTTGTGTTGGTCCTCTGGTCTAATGGCAATTTGATGGTAGCCGTACATATCGTACCTAATCTGAAAAGTCTATTTTGGTCCAGTACTTACAACCCTGCACCCTATCCAAAAGGTCCTCGATGCGCAGTAGAGGCTCTCCATTCTTAACAGTGATGGCATTGAGGCCTCTATAATCAATGCACATCCTCAATGTCCCCCCCTTCTTCGGTACAAATAAGACTGGTGAGCCGAATGGGAAGGTGCTAGGCCGTATCCAACCCATTTCTGTGAGCTCTTTCAATAGTCGCCTAATTCATCTAACTCGGCCAGCGCCATCCGATAAATTCTTCTTTTTGGTATCTTACTCCCAAGAGCTATCTCTATGGCATGAACAACCTCCCTATCCATGACTCCTGAAGGCTCCTGAAACAAATCAGGGTACCTTGCGACGACATTTTATATATCTAGGTGTTTTAACGGCCTCCCCTTTTTCAGAGACAAAAACTAGGTACATACTCTCCTCTTCGTTCTGTTTATAATAATTATAGAATGATGCTACACACATGCACACGTAGGAGTCAACTAACCTCTAGCCTTGTACTTCGCTAGTCTAATGGTTCTCCTATTTGGTAACTCATGCTTTAGCACTTTCTCGTCCCAGTCAAACAGGGGCTTGGCAACCTCAAGGTAGTACATTCCTAACAACATATCAAATGGTAAGTTGTCACTTATTAGGAACAAAATCTTATAATTTAGTTCCCCACCTCCAAAAGAGAAGGTGCAAACCATGTCCTTGACGTAGTCCTCTACCAACATGTGCTCTTTGCTGGCCAAACTAGATGCTACTAGTCTACTAAGGTGTTGCACCCGGTCCTTTAGGCTCAGTCTATCAACGTAGTCGTGACTTATGAAGTTCTCAGTGGAACCGATGTCTATGAAGGCACCACACTTGCGGCCACCTACACCAACTTCCACTATGAAATGCTCCCCTCTAGGACCACCCACAACTTAGCGCCACCCAAAACTCACGAGGGTCCCTTGCCGACCACTCAGTTTGTAAGCCTTTTAAGGCCTCAAACACATCCAACGAACAGAGTATCGTTTGGGTCAGAATAAGTCTGTGGGCTGACTAAAGAGTCAATAGCTTCAACCAACTCTTGAGGTGGGGAGGGTACATCGCCCACTTCATCAAGAGTAGAATCAGCTACAACTTCTACTAGCCCGATGTGTTTCACGAGCTGGTGCTCATAGAAGCCCCACTATGGGAAGAAGAATTCCCAAAACCACCTTTGAGAGGTATCTTCTACGATACCTTCGCGTCCTTGCATCTAAACTGCTAATGAAGTACTTAAATGAGAATAAAAAATCATATATAACAACATATGGATTCTCCACCTTAAATTAATTAAGTCATACTCGATGTAGTTATTGCAAGCTCCTCGCCAATACCGGTCTCGACAAAAATCCTAATCCAAACCCGCCCTCATTCAAGTCAGAGTCTTGTTAGGTTTTAGGTCTGCCCCTAGCTCTTCTATTGACCGCCCTTGCCGCGGCCAACTAGCTTTACATTCACAAAGGAAGTGAGGTTGCTACCCTCAACGCTATCCTCACTTCGAGACTCTATCTCGTCCACTAAGTCCAAATAATCGTTGATCTCAGTTTGATTCCCTCCGGAATCAACCATCATCAATCGACTACCATTCTTTCACTCATGTGGACTCTTATTTAATCCATCCGTAGAGGGTTGTTTGGCTCCTCCTAGCCTAGCCTCTAAGTCTAGGGCCTTCTACCTGAAGGAGTCTAGAGTATGATATTCAATGCTGGCCTCACTGACCAGCAAGTTCTTGATGTATGTGGAAAGACAGCTCAAGAACATGGTCGTCAAGACCTGTGGACCACAGCGCACGCCGGGGATGACAATGAAACGATCGACGACAAAGGTAAGTTCACGCCCGCTTTTGTACATCTAGTATCAAGTCGGGTCAACGTGTTAGTGGCCTGTTAGGCCTGCTGAGGGTTGTGCCATCGAGTTTCTACCAACTCCATAAAGCTTTCTAGAGTATGGGTCTTAGCCCAATCATTGATACGCTTGTCGAACCCCCTTTGAGGCTACCAATACATCTAGCCATCGCGCTGCCAATCCCTCTAGATATGAGGCGGCAGTGATCACCTCGTCCTCTAACAGCGTCCTCTTTGCCCTTACCCACACTGGCACCGTTCTCAACCAAGTGTCGAAAGCCTCATCCTTCTTATCACTTGAGAAGGTTGAGGGTGGTTTCAGGGGAGTCTTGGGGTACCAAGCTGCTGTTGTCCCGCTGGTGGGACCGGCTATTGTGTAGCTCCAGCCACTGAAGCTGGAGATGAAGAAGAAACAGTATGTGATGATGATGTTGATGTTCCGCTTGATGTGCTACTGAACTGAAGCGTAGTGGGACTTGTCATCACCGGTGAGGATATCGGTGATGGAAAAGTTGGTGGCCAGAAACCAGGCCCGCCCATTGAAGATGTGAAAGCTTTTTGGATCCGCTGCATGGCACTCAATATCTTCTCATGGGTATCCTAGATAGCATCCAGATTATTGTCCATGTAAGCATGCATGGACAGTAGACCTGCCTTGGGGATTCTGCATGTGTCATCAAGGACAGCGTCATCTAACCCTTCTACAACTGCTTTGTGTGCCCTCCTACGCTCTAGTCTAGCTTTTCTAGTTCTAATCTTTGTTTCTCTAACCATTCTCTAAGTCCCTTCTCTAACCGTAAGCGGATCAACTCCACTTGTTGGAGCCTCTTTAGTGCGTGGAGGTGGCGAGTTGTACTGCGAGCCCGCCATCTGACTAGAAGGTCAAGAAATCAATACTCTAGCTGCACACGAAAGTCTAAACGGCTTCGATGAACTGCTTGATCCTACTCCATTCGACGTGGACTGCGAGCTCTTGCTGCAGATGTGGCCATCGCCATCGCTACGACGCTAGCTGCTACTGCTGCTAACACTTGTTTCGGCGCTAGCTGCTACTGCTGCAGATGTAGCCATCGCTACGACGCTAAGACGCTAGCTGCTACTGCTGCTAACACTTGTATCCCGCTGCAGATGTAGCCATCCTAATGCTTCGGCCTGAGGAGGCTGAACAGCATACCTAATGACTGCTGACCTGAAGAGGCTGCTGCAGATGTAGCCATCGCTACGACGCTAGCTGCTACTGCTGCTAACACTTGTTATGCATCTGCTGCTGCCTCTCTAGCAGCCTCTAAATGTCGGCCCCTTGCTTCGGCCTTGAACCTTCTCTCGTCCCCTAGTAGTAGAACCTGGAACACTAAAGGTATCCTTCGTGTATCCCGCCGTGTTTGTCTTCTATAGTCAGTTGTGCCTTCACCACTCTCTGAGCCGCTCATCAACTAAGCAGACATTGTCTACACTAGTGCCCTCACTGGGGCCTACAACAGCATGTGTCTGACCGGGTTGAAAAATATATAAAAAACAAATTAATATTCTGCAAGTCATCTAGGCTACCTTTCAAGCGGAATCGACAGCATATACACAAACTGAATACATGATCTCGTCCTACTCTGATTAGTTTCACTCACAGCAGCTTCGATGAGAACTGGCTGTGGTAGAACACTACGGTTCTAATCTAAGTTGTTTGTTAGGTGTTAGCAATTTGTCCACCAACTAATCAAAATAAAAATATATCATGTGAGCAAATGTATGCACGGCGGAAATAGTTGTGCCTGTTGTTGAGCACCAATTGGAATCTTCCTTCCCCTGTATCCAACACATGTGTCCGCATCATCAAGCAGCGCTAACTAAGGTGTGCTTTAACGGCCCACCCCAGTGCCCAGGAACTCACTTATGACCATAACCGCCCTTTCTTTATCCTCGTGTGCAACGAGCCTTACGTCTGACTTATCTGGCTGATCAAGAGGCATTATAAGGACAGCCCCCAAGGTCCTCAGGATTCGTTTAACGTCATAGATAGGACAACGATCACCGCTAGTGTTCAGATCAGAACCCCGCCAGAAATATTTACAGACGGTCAGGTGAGCGTCTCCAAAGGACTGGTCAATCCGCATCTCCTCTATTGGTGCAGCAAAGAGGATGGTCAAACACAACAGCATGCACCTCCCTCGTCGATGACATGGACGACTGCCGCCTCCTCAACCCAAGTAGCCACCGTCGACTTCCTCGTGTGGCTCAAGGGCATGTCAGTGCGCCCGAGTAAGGATGCAGCCACGGCCCTTGCTGTCGCCTCTCAACGCACTCGTGGCCTGCCCGCTGCTGAGGCTGGCGCGGACGGCTGTGTCCCACGATCTCATGCCACATTGGGAGGGGACTGTGCCGCACGAACTCCCATGGCACCCATCGCCATCGAAGCGTCTGAGGGCGGCGTGCGGCTGGCAAGGCCCAATGAAACGGATTGCACGTGTGGTAGAATTCCTTTGGCTGTCTTTGAGTCGGTCCTTGCTTCACGTCTCACCTCTATGAGATCCTTTGCAAGGCACACGCCCAACTCATCAGCAGTGATCGCGCCGAACATCAAACTGCCTTGCGGCTGCTCTACGTATGGAGTGCCCCGCCTCTCAGGGCCAGGTGGACAACGACGACGCCACTGAGGGGATAAGCGGTTGTCGACGTCGGAATGCAACGTTGGCCGATAGGATGGACGATGTGCGGCCATTGATCCGTCCTGCTGAGTCGGTGCTGGCCCCTCAAAATCTCGAGAACAAGCGTTCGACTCCATCCCTCTACCAGACGGTGCGATGGGCGCCATAACACGTACTCCCTCCTCCGCAAGTAAAGCAGGTATAGTCGTACACGCACCTCCGTCCTCGTGAAGCTCCCGGCATACGCCCTCCCCCACCTCTGCATGAATCAGGAATGCCTCTCCCCCCACTGCCGCAAGACTCGTGTCTGCTTTGTCATCCTCCGTATTTTCCGCTACTACATCTCGTGGTTTTCCTAACATACTCGTGTCTCTACATGCCACCACCTGTGTAGCTACCGCCTGAGCAGCATCAGGCTCTGCCACAGTGGAGTCACCCAATCTCTCACCACTCGCCTCTCCCTCGTGTACCTCTGCTACGCAGGCCGAGTCTCCATGATGCGCCACTGCGACGATGAATGCGTTGACGATGTCGGGGCCGTGTGTCTCACTCTCTCTCTCTCTCGATCCGCATTTGAAGTGTCGCCACTTGCCTCCTCAACGAACCCACGAGACTTTAACGTCTCTGTATGCGCAGTGGCACCGACGCTCTCTAGCATGGTATCCTCCACGACCATGTCATGCACATCCTCGTGAAAGCTATGCACTCCTGCTCCCCCAGTCACCGGCATCGCCCCCCCCACCGTCTCTAGCTCACGTCTAGCCTCCATGTCATGAGCCATGGCTTGTGTGCGTGGGTCGACATCGAATATAGGGCATTTGCCCTTGCGGCCTCCTCCTCGTCCTCCCTCGCCTCTCGAGCCATGCGCTCGTCCTATGTGTCTGGTGCAAGCTCTCCTATGTGAAGCGGTCATGGCAAAGGTCGGACAACCTCAACGCCGGTCTCCTGCACAAGAATAGCCTCACCCTCCGTCATGGCAGGCAGAGTGGCCTCGAGTTCCTTTATGAAATTGCGCATGGACGCTGATTCCATAGGATGGTCCCCGAGTCCAGCCTGGTCATGTTGTGCCCCCTCATCATCCAGCTCCCTGCAACATACTCTACCAACGGGAGGCTCCTCGAGCGTCCCCAACTCCCCTAGCGACCATGCACTCCCCAGCCCAGAACCAACACACCACCACCCAAATCTCCTCTTTGCCCTCCCTCCATCCCCTCGCCCGTAGATGACGGCAGCGACTCAAAATCCAGTATGAGTTGTCTCTTGGGGTGCTTCGGATCCGTCCTAAGTCGTTGAAGTGCCACACCCCCACCGCGTCCCCCTTAATGGTCGTCGTGGTCTGATGAACCCCCCACAACAGAAGATACTCCCCCGGTTGTCGAACCCTCTCTATCATGGGCTCCTCGCATGCCTGGTATGAGGTAGGCCAACAAGCCTGGGCAAAGATGAGGTTTGACCGAGCGGCACGCAATGAGGGCTCCCCGACCCGCCCCAACAAACCTCGCCTCCAGCCATGCCCCTCTCTTTGTCCTCAAATATATTTCTATCGGCGCTACGCCGACGAACCTCCCCAGGGTCACTCCATGTGTCGTCGTCCTCTGCACATGGAAAACCTGCACCGCCGTGGAGGTGAAATCCCTCATCATGTACCTCACGCTCATCTCCACGAGAGTCATCTCTTGGGTACGACCTCAAAGTGGCGGCCCAGACCTCGAAAGCATCCTCGACCGTCGGCGGTGGTCGTGACCCATAAGCATCCCGCTGCCACAACTGCACCTACGCATCACGATCCTCCTCGGGTACCCTCTAGTCCACCCCCTTGCAAACCGCGTCTGCCTCTAGGTCACCCTTGACATCCAACATGGACTAATCCTGAGTCCACGGAAGAACCAAGCCACCCCCCGTGCTCTAAAGAGCCAAATTTGGTGTGTTGGTTGTGATCTCGACCAACTTCACGAGCTTCGAGAACAACAACCTGTTACGCTTCTTCATTTGAGTACTCTTGTGGATGACCCAGTTCCTCTCCGAGGGAGAGAAGCACGTCCACATGTACATGGCACGAAGAGCGATAAGCTGAAGCTCAGGTGCACAATCGCCATATTGTGACCACCACAGACCACACTCGACGGTCTCCTGCTCCCCAACACACATCTCTGCAGCGGTGTGTGCCCGCTACCCTCCCCATGAGCAAGTCGAAGTCCGCATGTGAAAGTCCCGCAGCTGCGACACAGCGTCTTGGTAGTCCTTGCATCGCTCATCGAACCCAGTCTGCGACAAAATGTGAAGCTCTGCCTCCCGCACAAGTTGTGCATCCTCATCCTTCACCACGTCGCTGTAATACTGCATCGACCTCCTCATCGGGCAGAGAAGGTACGCCGCATCGTGCGCAAACTCACACATTTGAGCAACGTGGTACTGCACACCTGAAAATCTGGTCCGCCAATCTATCCTCAAGCAGAGCAACAGCCGTCTCCACGTCCTCCGCCAACTGCCCCGCCCAAAAAACCACTGGAGACATGCACTGCCCTCCGCGATTCATCTTGCGCAGCATATCATAAAGCAGCTCCATAACATCACGCAATATGTCCATGGAGTCCCACCAAGTGTCGTGTCGGATCTGCCACTGCACCGAGCGCGCATGCTGCTTGATCGAGATAGTCGCCCAAGAATCCCTTCACCAGTCAATATTGTTCACCATCCGCTCCAAAGGGCGCCAAACAGCATCCAACCTCTCTAACATAGTGTAGACAGATCCAAATCGAGTCTCTCACGAGCACAACAACCCGAGATGGCGACTCACTCAAGACATGCATTGCCCTCCGAGATCCATCTTGCGCAGCAGATCATAACGCGGCTCCATAACCTCACGCAATATGTCCATGGAGTCCCACCAAGTGTCGTGCCGGATCTGCCACTGCACCCAGTGCGCATGCTGCCTGATCGAGGTAGTCGCCCAATAATCCCTGCACCAGTCAATCCCGTCCACCATCCGCTCCAAAGGACGCCAGACAACATCCAACCACTCTAACATCGTGTAGACAGATGCAAATCGAGTCTCGCACGAGTACAACAACCCAAGATGGCGACTCTCTCCTAAACAGGAAATGCGCTCGGTCGTGCATTTTTATGAAATACACTACGGCTCTTGCCCGCACAATAATATCCACAAACCACAGCCCCGTTGTTCTGATGTCCGACAACAACAGGTTGCACGCGTGCGTCGCGCACACGAGCCACGTGATGCGTCTGTACTCAAGCGGCATACGTGGATCGGACAAAGCGTTGCCTGCCTTCAGAGAGGCAGACGCAAAGTCTGTGCAAATTGCGTTGACCCTATCTGGACCAAAGTCGTGGAAGGCTGATATCCACCTCCCCAACACTGCCAATGCATCATCAAACTCACCCTCCCTATTGAGGGTGCTCCACATCGTCACACCTCGAGCACCAGCTGCTAGGAAGTTGACGATGGGTCTCCCATTGCGAGACTTCTTGTCGTCGAACAGGATTGTGGCCCCTGTGCGGTCAAATGGCTCATGTATACCCTTAAGACCGACAACAACGTTGATTGCCGTCTCAACCACCGTATCCTTTGATGCGACTTCGTTCTCGGAAGGCCAAATAACGGACACTAAAGGGGGTTTGTCCCTGAAGTGTGCAGTGTACAAGGCTAGTTGTTGCTGTGCACGAAGCGCAACCACAACTTCCTGTGTTTCGCAGCCCAGTCAGACCCGAACACCTCTTTTATCGCTGGCTGCCTGATCTTCTTCCCCTGCTGCATCGTGGCACCATCCATATCCTTCCTCTTCCCTAAATTTGAAACAACCTCACCAACGGGCAGCTTGCCTGGCTGCGGCAAGTATGTACCCACATCCTCGCCGCCATCCTCTCCCTCGCTATCCAAATCGATAGCATCATCGCCCTGCTGTCGTGCCCCAGCTGGGGGGGTGGATGTCACCCTCGCCTCATGAGGACCTCCTCCAGGCCTCCTATCGTCCACCCAAGCACCACGAAGCTCCTCGTACTTGCAGATTCGTTCCAACCACTTTCCCTCGAATGTGTACCTGCTCGTGTCATGCATGTCCACCAGCACGTCGTCGGTCACCTGTGCACAACCCTTCACACTGCGAAAATGTCGTGCCACCCCGTGCCTGTTCCCCTGCCACTCATTCGCGCAGAACATGCACCGAAGAATCTTGTGACCATGGAGCTTCTCGGAAAGCTCCTGGCCAACACGCACATACTTGTACACGTTGTTCGAATTCTTCATACTCATTTCCGAGTCGTCGCAGGCCTGAATGAAGGGGTTGGCTTGCCGCTTCGACA